TTTAAATCTGCTGCATTTGTTTGCACCTGTTCTAAGTCAGGAACCTGTTGTTCAGTGGTTGTCGTTTGTTGATGTGGTTCATACTCCTACCACATCTCCTTATATCTAGATCTGCAAGATTACATAAAATAATACACAAGCATCTTTTGATTGAAAAAACAAAAACTATCACAATGAAGGCACGAATTATCCAAGACTTAAGTTAACACGTAATACCAAGCTGTACATAAGCGGGATAACATCCTTCAGGGTAAACATCTGAGTTCTAACCTTTTCGTAATCAAAGACAAGTGACAAACAAAATATGATGCAAAATAAGCTCATAAAGCTCAAGACAAACATGTATAAATTTAAAGAAGGAACCAAGTACTAGTAGTTCAATTGAATACTATTAGTTACTTATAAAAGTGAGAAACTTATTCTGATGGTTCAAGATAAAAATTTCTGAATAAAAATTCAAGATTGGTAACTATATATCAACCAAAATTATCAACTGTCATGATATCTGAGCAAGTTACAAGATTATACATATTAAATGTACTTATCTTAGTTCAAAGGTCTCAATAATGAACTAAAACAATGCAGAGATTCAATTACATGCAAAATGATTATTTTGTTTTTAAAATAACTTAATCAAGGGATAATGGACTTTCCGTTTTGAATTTTCCTTGGAGTTCGATATTTTTTGTCATTTTACTTTTTACTTAATGTGTAGAGGTAGTCTAAGATATTGCATGCTAAACAGGACAAGAACGAATTAACAATAAATCCAATAGGTAGGTTCTGTAAAATAGCTTGACATTTTTAAAAAACGTGCTTAAACAATACGCACCAATGAACGATATAAAAAGAATATAAATAGGATTGTGACATCGTACATAGATTTAACTTGTGTTTGTAAGAGATGATCAAATGGAAATGAAGGAAGGATACACGTAAATGTAACAACACAACACAAACAACACAAATGTAATTTTAATAACACCCAAGTAGAATGACAAGCAATAACTCCGAGTTTGAAGAAAAAATTAAAAAAGTCCATAAGGCCGGAAGACAAATAACACCAGATACAAGCTAGAATAAAAAATAAATCAAACACGGACAAGTTTGCTGACTTGGTCCTGTACACAAGTTTGTGGTGTGTAATAACCAATTGTGTACCCAAACATACACTCTTATTCATCGTCCCAACTAACGAATTCAAAGAACAAATAATATTAAAAAAAAACTCGTTAACTGTTGAAGTTCACAAAGAAAAACCACTCAGCAGTTACTTTAGATAATATATGCCTGACGATTTTCCCGACTAGAGACACGGATATGAATGTGTTGTGATTAGGCACAGGACGTTTGCTCTTTGTTACCTCTAACACGAAAAGACATTTGCGCTCGAAACACCATGGACATTTGCGCTTTAAACTTTGATAGACCTGAACAAAATCGATCGGCGTTTTGCATTTGCGCCAATCTGCACTTCATTTGTGCCAATATTTTTTTTCATTTGCGCCAATAAATTTTTTTTCTATAACGCCAATATTTTTTTTTCTTTTACGCCAATTTACAGGTAAACACAAGTCATAAGACATATAAGTTGTATAGAATTTATTGATATAATAACATAAATACCGCTTTCCATCTGCACCCTGCTCACCACGGGGAGTTGGAAGTGGGATTTCGAGCAGATAACCTTGTCGTAAAAGATTCTAAAATTATATACATCACATGTAAAATAGCACTTTTTTTTTTATAAAAAAGTAAGTTTAACGTCAAAAGTTTGTTTCTGTGTACAAAAGGTCCATCTTATCATAACAGAAATGTTTAAATCAATGGGCTCAACATGTATATACAACTCGTCTAAACATCAGTCCAACAATGTTAGATCTGTAAATTTGCTTTCGCAAATTTTTAGTTCTTCCCTCGCCGGGATTCGAACTCATGCTACTGAGATATCGTGACACCAAATCGCCTGCACTGTATCCGACGCGCTAGACCACTCGACCACCTAGGCTTCACTATAATAAAGCTTTCGGTGGCCGGGTGTTGCCTTTCCTCGTCAGTTTTAATCTAGCGTCGTAATACAGTCGAGTTATATAAGCATGAAGATGGAATTGTTACAGATCAGCTGAAATATCTATTGTAAAGGATCCTACAAATTAATGCAAGATACAGTCACAGAAATAATGATATTTATAAGTACGTCTGAACCAGTGACAACTCTACAACAGATTTATCCATCGGATCACTAGCAGTGATGGTGATACATGGCTGTGTACATTCTGTACTAGTATATACAATTCGTCTAAACATCAGCCCAACAATGTTAGATCTGTAAATTTGCTTTCGCAAATTTTTAGTTCTTCCCTCGCCGGGATTCGAACTCATGCTACTGAGATATCATGACACGAAATCGCATGCACTGTATCCGACGCGCTTGACCACTCGACCACCTAGGCTTCGCTGTATTAAAGCTTTCGGTGGCCGGGTGTTACCTTTCCTCGTCAGTTTTAATCTAGCGTCGTAATACAGTACATGATATATAAGTCATGAAGATGGAATTGTTACAGATCAGCTGAAATATCTATTGTAAAGGATCCTACAAATTAATGCAAGATACAGTCACAGAAATAATGATATTTATAAGTACGTCTGAACCAGTGACAACTCTACAACAGATTTATCCATCGGATCACCAGCAGTGATGGTGATACATGGCTGTGTACATTCTGTATATACAACTCGTCTAAACATCCGCCCAACAATGATATATACAAGTCTAAATTGAAAACAACGTTCAAACCTACATGTATATATATATATATATATATATATATATATAATATGGACATATACTCATGGTACACCACTTACCTTCTACGTTGGGTTAACCTGAGTAACAGTAATTATCTCAAATTTACCAGATCTTACCTGTTCAAATTAAATTGGCGCAAATGAAAACTTTATTTTGGCGCAAAGGAAACAAATATACTTTCAAAATTGGCGCAAATGTCATACACCCAAATTGACAGGACATTTGCTCTTTTAACCTGTGATAGTTTACCTGTAATCTTAACAAAACTTACCAAAGTCATGGAAAGATGTTCACATATTCTTTTAAAGTTCTTCCGAACCAACGACAAAATCAGAAAAATTATTCGGTTAAACCAGACATATAATAAAAAGATATAGGTTGATTCTTTAAGCTGTATATAAGTATATAAAATTGAGAATGGAAATGGGGAATATGTCAAAGAGACAACAACCCGACTAAAGAGCAGACAACAGCCGAAGGCCGCCAATGGGTCTTCAATGCAGCGAGAAAATCCCGCACCTGGAGGTGGTCCTCAGCTGGCCCCTTGTGTGCTAGTTCAGTGAAAATGGATTTCACTCTAAACTCCAAATCATATAAATGAACTAAAATTAAAAAACATACAAGACTAACAAAGGCCAGAGGCTCCTGACTTGGGACAGGCGCAAAAATGCGGCGGGGTTAAACATGTTTTGTGAGATCTTAACCCTCCCCCTATACCTCTAGCCAATGTAGAATAAAGAAACACATAGCAATACGCACAGTAAAACTTAGTTTAAAAGAAGTCCGAGTCCGATGTCAGAATATGTAACAAAAGAAACTAAGCAAAATGAAAATGATACATAAATGAACAAAGAACTACTAGCAGTTACTGACATGTCATGAATGTTTTATGTTTCTGATATTAAATAATTTTTTTAACTGTTTTACCATGATTACTCCTATGTTATGTTGATAAAGCGCAAATATCCTATTGAAAAAGCGCAAATGTCCTATCAAAAAGCGCAAACGTCCCGCGCCGTTGTGATTAAACTACTAGTACTTCAGATCGATCAATGGATAAACAAAACTAAATTAAAAACATAGAATAAAAAAAAATGTACAGGAAAAGCAGTCAACTCTATAATAGCGGTATAGTAGATGAACAAAATGAAATATCATAACTGACTTGCTTCAGACAGAAATTTCGTCTCAAAGTCTATAAATGAACTTGATCTAAGTGGTTAAATGTACTGCAAAGACTGAGATGCAGCTCATTAGTGTCTTCAAAGTCTTTTAGGATATTCGTGTCATTTAATAGTGAATTTATTATTCTTCTAGGAGACTTTAACCGATATTATACACTGTCAATATAAATCTAAAGATTATAGTTATATATCAAGATCTAGGTTTGAACAGACGTTCCACAACTTGTCACACAGTAGTTGGCTATTTTATAATCTATTTTATTATGGGTAATTTCATTGTTGAAATAAAATTAGTTGAAGATAACCTTACCTCACTTGTCTAATATCCATTGTTACGGAACTTTTGTACGCTTTTCAAAACAAAATACCCAGAATGCAGTCGATTATGAAATTGTGCTTCTTCATAAATATATTTATTACGCTCAACAGAACAATATCTTCATAGTAATTTAATATATTGAATATTAAAATCATTTTTTTTCAATGTATATAAACCAGTTGACTGGAATAAGGTATAAAATGCACACTTTCATTGACAATTGAAATTAAATTAATTGTTTAACTGTTTTGTATGCCATAGTTTGTGTTTCTTGGTTCTCATTAAGAATCTGCTGTTTGTGCATGTTGATAGCAACGTTTTATTTGATCATTAATTGGTCTGCTGATTATAAGGATTGTCATACAACTTTTCTTTACTCAGACTTTTGCAGTTGAAAGGTTTCATAAAAATCTGTTTCACGTCGATAATGCATTTTTTTTCGTATTAAAATAGAAATGTATTAATTTATACTTAAATTTTGCAGTATTCCCAATTTTAAGGAAAATGTCAATAACTTTGAAAAAAAAATTGTAAAACACTTCTTTGGTTTTGAAGAAAAAACTCTTTAAACACCACACTTCGGTAGCTTACTTTATATTGATAACCATATAGACGTTATCTATAACAGTCATTAGGATTGCTATAATAAGAGATGGGTTTGTTATATCGTAAAGTATTAGTACACCTATTGACATAATTTCTATAATAGGGGGTACTAAATGTGACCGGAAGTATTTGAACTGTTACTGGGTGGTGATGAACGACATTATTGATCCGTTGATGCGTATTTTACAAACATACGTGGGAATGTCACGGATTAATGCTAAACATGGATAAAATCGTTTATAATTGCTATCTCCTTTTACAGATAATTTGTGTGATATATCCTACATCATTTAAAGACACTTGAAGAAAAATTGGGTGAGTTATATTACTTAAATTTACTTTGTTATTCGAAGACTTGAAAGAAAAATTAATATTCTTCTTTTATAATTTCATGGAATTATTTAATACCTGCAGTAATTTTGTTATTGAGTTTACTTTATGATATAATGTTTCTTTTCAGGCAACTTGCTAATTATTATTATGAAATTTATTGAATATTACTTTCATTTTTTCTTATGCGATGTTGGATCGCACATGCACTGATTTCTATGATGAGTTTATTCATATTTATACTGAGAAGTATTGACATCCACCAGGAGCCAGTGCATAGGTATTGGGGATAAAACATGGTATATTTTGTCTAATTTTCCACTTCATAAAATTATGTTATTAAGAAAATGCCAAGGTTGACTGCAGCCCCTCGCGCAAAGTAAACATTAGTTTACAGTTTGTAATGCTGGATCTTAATAATTGTCACATCTGTTTGGGAAGCTCACCAAATTTGTCAATATGACAAATCTATAAACAACTGTCATACAAGTGAGAGGTTTAATAGATATAAAACCGTGTTTACCCCATTATTTTCTTCGGAAAATGCCTTACTCAGGTCAGGAATATAACAGTTGTTTTCCGTTCGTTCCGTTGGTTGATAAAGGCTTTTGATTTATTCAGGTTTTATGGATTTCCCCTTTTTAAAACCTTGGATTTGGTATTTTTGTTCTGTTGAGACCCATTTTGAACTTGTGCTCTCGAACTATATCAATATGCCCCTGCAGCAGCGGAGGGGGCATTAAGTGTTACCATTGTCTGTCTACGTCCATCCGTACGTACGTACATCCCAAAATTAGTTTCCATTCTCTAACTTTAGTTTGCCGAAACCAAATGTTATGAAACTTATACACAGTGCTTATTACCACAAAACACAGACCAAGATTTATTTTGGGTGGCGTCACTTTTACCATTCTAGGGTTATACCCCTTTATCAATAGAAAAAATGCTGAATTTTTCGTTTCCGTTCTCTAACTTATGTTTGTCTCAATTATGCTTATGACCACAAAAGTCAGATCAAGTTCGAATTTGGGTGCCGTCACTTTTACCGTTCTTGAGTTATGTCCCTTTATAACGTTGTGTGCAAGCGGAGGCATCATCTGTGTCCATGGGACACATTCTCCATTTATATGTTTTGGCTTTCCAAACTTTTAAGCGTACAAGATGAAAGTTATCCCAGAAACACGTGTTGTGCCCGTGAAAATCATCTCGTACGTTTTTCTCGTTTAAATATTTCTATCAGACAGACTTTAATAAATACTTGAATGAAAGAGAATATTCGGAAAATAATTCGGAAATTTGATTTTTGTTTATCATAAGCGATCTCTCATTCTGCGTCTTTTGAAATAGATTTTAGTCCTTCTGAGGTTCGTTTTAACCGGTTTCAATTTTCAAGACGGACCAAGACAGCGTCGATATGGTAACTTCTCTTCTCTTTATTACTTGAAGCTATCATTGACCCATTCATGAGTCTTCTTCATAACCAGTGAAATTGGATGCATAAATAGCAGAAATTATATCCAAACCTCCACAGAGGGATCGATGTGATCTTGATAAAAAGTTAAAGACTGCAGTTGAGTAGCTGATTTGTATAGTTTACGAATCGCGCACAGAGATCAGTAACATACATTTATATTTAAAACACCTGATATTTTCAGTTATTTTCATGATTGAAGTAAAGGCATTCCATTATAATTAGGGGCCATTCAAAACTCGTGTAAGTCCAAGAAAAATTGACAACGCCATACGTAAGACGAACAATTCCAAAAAACACAGCACAGAACACTAAAACTGAGCAACACGATCGACCTAAAACCGGGGAGTTAACTAAGGTGCTCCGGAAGGGTAAGCAGTTTCAGCTCCATATGTGACACCCGTCGTGTTGTTCATGGTAGTACACAACCCTTAAGTATTTTGGTTATTTTTTATTTATTCACATTATGATATGTCTCGAGTGCACAAGATACAAACTCTCATTTGTAAATTGACAAAGACCATAGCTCTTAACTAGGGTAACGCATGAATCAAATTAATCTTCCCAAAACTTTGATTTTTTTTTCGAAATACTAGGGATTTTCTACCCAAAGTATAGATTACTCTAGCTTTATTTCATAAAACCTATCGGAATTTCGGGTCCTTAATGCTCTTTAACTTCGTACTTCATTTGGCCTTTTTTTAACTTTTTTTATTCGAGCGTCACTGATAAGTCTTTGTTTAGACAAAACACGCCTCCTGGCGTACACAATTTTAACCCTGCAAGTATCTATGATGAGTTTATTTTCTCAAAGATTGGTAGCAATTTGATCTTAACATGAATCAGATTTAAAGTGATTACTTTGCAATGTTTCCGTTAAGGTCAAATGCCACAGCATGCTCATATATCCAAATAATAACTAAACGGGTGGCCTATCTGCACTGAACTTACTGACGGACTTCCATTCATGCTTCTTGCTTCTTACAAATAAAAAAGAGATGCGAGGTATACATCAGTTAGACATCAACCCAAAAATACAACAAAATGAAGGCCAACATAAACATGTCAGCAATAGACCGGAATATATACAGTACGACTAGATGTAAATCGCCAGAAGTCTATAATAGTTGTAAATGAATTAAGTCTAGAGCAGTTGTAAAAGAATTAAGTCTAGAGCAGTTGTGAATAAATTAAACTGGGATAAGAAAAGATCTGTTCTCTACACCAAATAAATAAATAGCTATAAAACATGATCGACACTATTTAGTGATAAACAGCTGCCATTAAGGTCCCCATACTCAGAGATGTCGTCAAAACATCGAAAAGAACTTTACATTTATTAGTTTTGACGTTATTGAAAAAAAATAGTTCATGTCACTCGGTGAACGCCAATATAAAAAAGGAGATGTGGTATGATTGGCAATAAGACAACTATCCACAAGAGAACAAATGACGTAAATTTTAGCATTTACATGACCATAACATTGTCAGTTGTTTTCGACTTATGAGTTTGACAATCCCATTGGTATCTTCCGCCTATCTTGTATATGTCACCGTACGACCTACAACAATGAGCAAAACCCATACCACATAGCCAGCTATAAAACTTTTAAAAAAGTCCCTGAAATAACAATGGAAACCAAAAAATCAAAGGCCTGATTTAAAACAACAAACGAAAAACAACCATAATAAAATTGAGAATGGAAATGGGGAATGTGTCAAAGAGGCAACAACCCGACCATAGAACAGACAACAGCAGAAGGTCACCAACAGGTCTTTAATGCAGCGAGATAATGTATAGCAACAACTACAAACACTAAAATACAGGCTCCTGATTTGGGACCGGCACATACAGAATGTGGTGGGGTTAAACATGTTTGCAGGCGCCCATTCCTCCCCTAACTTGGACAATGGTGCAACAGCACAACATAAAAACAAACTTTAAATGTCAGTCGAAAATGGCTTGATTCATTAGATCAATACAAAGCACACACACACACACACACACACACCAACACACACACACACACACAACCAACTTGCAATATAGAAACAAAAAAATCCGATCAGAGTGTACTCACAGTGACAGAAAGCTATTTCGAAGCCAATAACAAGTATTAAAAATCATATGTGAAGACCAAAATCAGTACACATCCAATGGATTTAGTGTAAAGACGTCATAAAGAGTAGGAAAACCTGACCATGTGCAATGACAAAGCATAAGTATGTAGAACCGCCTTTATAACTGTATACTTTTTCACCAGCGTATAAAAAAATGCCTATTTCGGAAGATAAAATCTCATATTACTTCTCATCAGGATACAAATATTGCAATTGACCATAAAAGTTCGATAAAATATTGCAGAACAGTCCGGAACCTTCCTTTGGTTTGCTTTTTAAAACAATGTGTGTGCGTGTGTTTATTTTGTATTTTTGTTTAGTTGCCGCTTCATTTACGCTAATCCGCCACATGTTTTATAATACGAGGCATATACATAGATCTTGATGCTACATTACACAGTTAATAATGACCAATCTTCAGATAATCAAATATGCCAAGTCAACGATTCAGAATATATAACGCTATTGTTTTCTTATTAGTGTCCAGTTATTTTGATCTTTCTTTATTATCAGATTACTCCTTCGCCATTAGTTTCATTGCACTGCTTAGGTAAAATGACTCGAATGCGAAAACCCACATGTATATACATTTTATATGAGGGTCTGGATGGGGGTTTACAGAATAGATAATAATGAACTAATATTACAGAAAAATAGGTAAAAAAATAACTTACAGACTAGAAAAAAAAATGAGAATAACAGGGTGTTAAAATATAAAGAACAAGAATGTGTCCATAGTACACGGATGCCCCACTCGCACTATCATTTTCTATGTTCAGTGGGCCGTGAAATTGGGGTCAAAACTCTAATTTGGCATTAAAATTAGAAAGATCATATCATAGGGAACATGAGTTTCAAGTTGATTGGACTTCAACTTCAAAAACTACCTTGACCAAAAACTTTAACCTGAAGCGGGACAGACGGACGAACGAACGGACGAACAGACCGAAAAACAAAATGCGCCTAGGTGGGGCATAAAAAAGAATAAGGAACACGCATATATAGAATAGAGAACAATGACCTAAGAAATTAAACAATAAGGAAATGAAGGACCCCATCCAGACCCTCTTATATGTGTTACATGTAATGACATAAACGGTACCAATTTTTCTGCACCAGATGCACATTTCGACAATCAATGTCTCATCAATCTTTTAATGTAATGACTAATATTGATACTGAAGTTATTTCGATTTTGATAGGATTAGTGTAAAACTCGTCCTTTGGGGCCTAAATATTTGATTTATTTTTTTATAGGATTTGAAATAAATTCTTCTTATGGGCCTAAATACTTGATTGCTTAGTTAATTAGCAATTTTAGATAAACCATTTATTCCTACATCTTGAGAAAATTTTCAGTTATCAGGTATTGAAATATTACATCAAACCCTGTTGTCTGGATTATGTGTTTCCCTAATTGCTAACAAAATTTCAAGTGAAACAAGTGAAGTTACAGCATGATGAGGAATTCTTCATCATTTATGTGTTTATGTAGTAGAGTCAACATACCAAAACTGATAAACATTTCAGTCTTAAGTAAATATTTACCATGGATAATACTATATGTTCGCCTTTCATGACACAATTGAAATTAAATTGATTGTAAGACGCACAGAAAAGAAAACTTCATTTTATAAACATTCATCCTGAAATTAGACATTATGTACCCTTTTGTTGTTTTAGTACGAAACATATGGATATTTTACAGAAAATTCACAGCCTTTCCCCTTGTACACTAATATTTGACAATTTTGTACGTAATAGATAAAAATTTCCCTAAAACAAGTTTTTCAATAAAAGATATTATTTAGTAGTTATATGGACCTATTCAAGTACACCTTCTAGGGTACAATCGACCTCAGTGACTCAGCACGAGCTAGGGGTTTTTTGTTATCATTGTAAAGGTTTTTTGTATACTTAAAACGCTTACATAACATGTACAAACATGTGAATAATCTATGTTTCAAATGTTATAACGGAAATAAATGTAAAATATATGCACTTTGAGTTTGAATATTTTGCAATACACAGGCCTACAGAAGGGGCCAGGTCATTAACCTTTAACAAGTCCCAGTCTTGTATTGATTACCTGTTAACATCTACATATCTACTTATAGTTATCTCATTTGTAGTCGTACCACAACTCCTCATGTCTTTCAGAAAGATTGCCAAATTACCTTAACTACTTTAATACACCGTGTTCGACCATGTGTTAATTGCACTCAACTGGGTCTTAACTGTATAAAACTTGAGTCTGAATTATACTTAACCGGATTGTGGCCAATCCACTTTTAAAAACAGTATGTCGTTGAACAATTATTCAGACTACAAATCAATAAAGTGTTAAAATACCATTATGCAATATTGCTTTTTGGTATGTAAAACTGAAATTGTATGGTGCAAATGTTTTACCGTCCTTTTGTATTTGAATAATCTAAATGAGAACAATTTTTCAAGGGTCAGTATATCAACTTTTCTACTAAAAAGTGAAAACTTTGAAAACAGAATGAAGTATTCCAAGTACAATGCCTTTTATTTTGTTTTAGGCTGTGTATGGCTGTTAACCATTTGATCTTTTTGGTATTTGTTGTATCTTCATATCTTCAACTGACATCTGTATCCGGGTCCTTTGATTTTGATTCAATGTTGGCGTGTTTTCGTAGAGAGTATAATTTCAGAGCCACCAAACCGTTTATAACTCGTCATGGACTTGTTTTGCCATGTTCTGATATTATAACAGTTTATTCCTGCTATGGCAGGTGCGACTCTAGTGAGGTAAGTGTAAGAGGATAAATATATTTGTTTCGAGTCTCGCCGTATAAAAAGAGGATAAATATATTTGTTTCGAGTCTCGCCGTATAAAGAAAAACGTTCATCAGAAATGAAATATACCATACAGTTTGATGCATGTAATTCTCTATCCAAACCATTTGTTAAAATTTGATTAAGCAAACTACACAAAAGTGATGCAGGTTTTATTTTGAACTAAATAATGATTTTTAAGATTTTTGATTCGAGCGCCACTTATGAGTTTTTTTTAGCGCGCGTCTGTCGTACCAGCCTTGTATCTTAGATGATTTATATAACTACAGTTTAAATGATCAGTAAAAGATCCCTTTGTCTTGATTTTCAAAAGATTTTCTGAAATATGGTTTGAGTTTGGTTTTGCCATGATTAGACTATCAAAAAACTACCAGCAGACCGTCAAAAAAAATTAAAGAAAGAAATCAACATTGGCCCAATATTGTACCAAATAGTTCTTCATGTATATAGTTCTTATTTTGCAATTTTCAAAATTGCTCTTCCTGAGTTGGTGTATACGATAACTTCTTGTAATAAATTTATAATCTTGCAGTAGGAAATTAAGAAATATCGAGTGTAATTGAGTTACCCAATTCTTTTCTTTGTTCACGTCAGACGAAGTAGCCTACAGGCCAATTTTACATATATTTATTTCACACCATGGCAAGTTTTCAAACGTCTCTCCTTATTTACAAAAAATAACAATATCCATTGTAACAACTTCATGTCAGAGCTTTGATGTGTTTTTACAACTGTAACCAAAAAATGAACATCTTGAGATGTCTGAAAAGTGCAATTTCGATGGATTCTTACAAATGTTAAATATTTTTCCATAAAAACAAATATGAATAAGAAAGACATTCTTAACCAATACCAAAACTCTGTTTGAAGTGAAGTTCTGTTTTGTCTTTCATAATTTTATTTTATATAAATAATTAATTTTTGGATAAACGTTTCTTGGATGCAAAATTTAACACAAACATGTACAGTTTATAATATTGTTTCATAATTTCCTTCAACAGAAATATGTGGCGTTGATTTACTTTAAAAAAAATTATGGATATAAATAAAATTGTAAAGATATTTTAAGACTATTATTTAGACTTTACAACAATCTTGTTCCCGTTTACGTTTAAACAACTTAAAATACAGGAGAAAATGGCTCGACAATTCTCTTTATTCAATACACGCACATTGTTATTAATCAACGAATACATCGTATTACCTAGAGAATATTTTTCATTATGGTATTACTAAATTATTTCTATTTCGCAGTCATATGCTTTTTCATTATCAAACGCTTGATGAAAAAAGTTATTAATTTTTCATATTTACCACTCACGTAAAGCAAAGTTCGTAGAACTTACACACTGAATAAAGTGATTTGTTGACGATACATTTTCCCTTGGATTAAGCTGGTTATTCGTGAAGATAGTATGCATTTACTTGATTTGAAATATATATTAAAGTAAGACACGTCTTACATATAGTCTGCTAAATCTTTCTGACATTATGTGATATTTTTCACTTCCGGTTATCTTTTCAGATAGCAGATTACAAGATTCCGTACAAAATTAGCAACCATAAAGTATGTACTTATGGTGGTATACAGAAACGGACAGTAACATTAACCAATTGTCATCCCTTGCATCCGGATCCGACCTACGAAGTATTTGACGCCACGTTTTGTTCTTGTAAAAGCTGCAGTTCTGACAGCACAAGCTGTGAAAATCTAAATGGATAGGATCAGGGATCAATAGACTGGTTTTATGATGTTCATATCAGATTATGGCCAACCGAAGTATTATAAAGAATCAAATCCTGTTATTATTGACATTATACTTTCCCAATTCTATTATTTGTATTATACATTAGTGAAAATTTTTTGTAAGTATTGAACTACAGGGACTTCAATATTGTTAAACTCTATGAACTATCGTCATCTGTTTTTTATATGTAGAAAGAAACTGATTTGTACTATATATATCGCAGGTAAAGATATGAAGTGTTTTACTAAGCTTGAAAATCGTATAGTGACCGTTATGTTAGTCCCACAAGGTCAAATGGACACTTGTGGCAAAGGCGGAAATATGATTAAGCCTTTTTTGTCCCAAAATAAAGAAAAAGATGTTTTTTTCTTCATTTTTTCACAACTCGTCGAAAAGTGAATAGATTCTAAACAGTGTAGTTTACTGACTTACATACAGAAATGTAATTTATGATGTCACTGGCATGATAAAATACTTTACATATTTGACAGAATGATGGTCGCATAATTTATGAAGTAAAATTAAAAATAATCAATAGTCGCGTCTTTATTGACTCGCATCAAAATGTTGTTTTTTAAGATATTTTCGGCAAAATTATTGTTCCTATTAACATTTCAATTATAAGATATGCTTTTCGAAGTCTTAAATATCATTACCGATATTTGGTTGACAATCAAACATGTAAACTGCTATGAATTGAATGATTTCTCATTCAAAACAATTGCTTTTATTTCTGGCATGCTTTTTTATAGTTATTACAAAAGGTCTTTTACTGTTACAATGTAGCAAAAGTCAAGAAGGTAGGTCAGCAACCTTGTAATTCAATAAACTCTTTAGCTTTTATAGAGTAATGCACCAGCGTTTAGTTCTCAAATTGAAAGGAGATAATTGTCCTGTGGGAGGGAAACGAAGTTATGATTATCAAGATATTTTTAACTTTTATGTACAAAATTTTATGTTAGATACATCTCAACAATAAATTAAGTAATTAGATTTTAAACTAGTCTTAACATATCTCTCTACAGAATGACTTTTATAATACGTAAGAGTCTGTTTATACATAATACTTATCTAATTGGAATTGTATAATACTTCCCTGACCCATTTCTTGACCTTTTTTAACACGACTTATAAAACATAAACTTTACTGTTAAATGTATGACTTATTCATTTTTGTTGAGGTACAGGTTCAATAGACTACCAGAAAGATTAAATGTAATTCATTCAACAATAACATGCAAAACAATTAATGAAATGTAAAATTAAAAACACTCCCGAGACAATGGCTTCCAATCAAATGACTTACAATTCGTTAATATTGTCTTGGTCCAAATATATCGACAAGTTCGAGGTAGAATTCAATGAACCAACGAAATATATTGTAGAGTAGAGTAATGCTTAAAATGTGACCTGAAAACCAAATCCAGGATTTTAATGTAGATCGAAATTTGACAACAGAAAGTATTAAATATTTTTGCACAGCTTCTTAGGTAAATTCACTAGAACTGGAAACACTGTGATATACTAAATCGGAATAGTCATTGAAATGGCATTGTTGGTCGAGAGTACAAAATAAAAATAACACTTTATAAATCTGCGACTTCAGCGCTTTTCTGAATTCATTTTCGCTAGGAACTGTCACACCAAAACATTTGAAAGCCAGGGAGGTATAAATACGTAGAAACGAAGAAACATTAGGGATATATGGCCATATGGGATCTGTAAAAAGAATAGCCGAATTCATCCCGGGTCAACTTTGCCTAAGTGAGTTGAAACCTTAGTTTTAGTTGTTTTTTTTTTTTAATTTCTCAACGGGGACTTTCTATCGCCATTGTAGGTTTTTCAGCTTTGTTCAACCATTTTTAAAGAAACAAGAATACATGACGCACCCAAAAAAGAGTTTATTTATTAGTCTCTATTATTATACTTCATGTCAAAAAGCCAGATTGTGATTGGTTAATACGAGGGAGACAATTTACTCTATCCCATGACAAATACTCTATTACCCTGCAGGAGACGCTTGATCAATTGTGCGCTTTATTAAATACGGATGTTTGTTATGTACAAGACGTTATAGTTTATTAAATTTAATATACAGTGATAACAGAACATTCAGTATAATAAATTAAATAAAACATAGCTAAGAGGGTGATAGAGCAGATTGTTACCCTTTGAAAAAGACATTGTCAACCTTGGCTTCGCCGCGGTTGACAATGTTTTCTCGGGGTAACAATCTGCTCTATTACCCTCTAAGCTATGTGTTATTTATATAATGGTCTATGGTTTACTAAGACTTATCCGGTTCCTCTACCAATAAAATTTTTCTTAATAAGCATTGCAATTCATCGAATGTATAAATAGATGTGTAAAACTCCAAGCATAGTATAAGATTGGGATAATTATGTCTCCCTGAAATATTGTGATTCTAATTTCATTCATTGCCTGTCACTCTGGGTCGTGGGTGTTTTAAATATAAACCTTGGGAGAAATCAAGTAAATTATATAATTTGATTTCATATTAAGTTATATCGTCAGTAATATTTAGCATCAATATGTCACGCATTTTCTTTGATAGTAATATGTGAAGATAGTATATATGTAGATTTGCAGGAGAAAGTCAAAAGCGAAGCAAGGTTAGCGATCAGGCATTTAGATCCTCTAATCCTAAAATAAGATAAAGAAAATGTAACTCATAATTAACTATTGTTAAATTTTTTATTTATTATTTTTGTTTGTCATATTATGTATGTTACGTCAATGGTCCGGAGCCGAATCTCATGTGAATAGTCCAATGCTATATTTGATTTTTGTTTATCTAATAAAGAAACTATTTTCTGTTACGTTGTTTTTATTCATTTAGCCTTGATCGTGGGTGTAATACTTAGAATTGTCATTTTATGTAATAAACGAGATCGTTTGGCTGAGTGGGGTGTATAGACACACAGCCACATGCGTTGGAATGGGGACATTTTGATGTCACGCTTTCTGTGAAATAAATATTAAATGATTGTTGTTTTGATGAATGTCCAGTGTCAAATAGTTCATGCATATTCAGGACGAGAACAATAATAAACAATTTATTTAATATTTAGGTTCTGCTAAGTGGGTTGACAGGATTGAAACCATAAATGGCTCCATATTTCTACATCCCGAAAAGTCAAACGGACGCCCATCTTTTGGAATGGGTTTAACTGTAAAATATTTAAAATTCACGTGTCCACATATTTATAACAGTTGTCAAACCTTGCACGGTATAGAACTCTTTCAACAAATCTTTAAAGGTCCACTGACTTTTATTGTTTGTTATTTTATTGTGTTGTTACACTAAACCATACTATAAACTATACCATGAAAGGAGAGAGTTGGGAACCCACAGACATGTTTAATCCAGTCACATTCTGTATGTCGGGAGCCTGTAATTCAGTGGTTGTCGTTTGTTGCTGTATATCATATTTGTTTTCGTTTGTTGTTTTGTACATAAATCAGGCCGTTAATTTTCTCGTTTTAATTCTTATACATTTGTCATGTAGGGGCTTTTTATAGCTTGCTATACGGTATGTTTTTGCTCATGGATGAAGACTGTAAGATGACATATAGTTGCTAACTTTTACCTCATTTTGGTCTCTGGTGGAAAGTTGTTCCATTGGCAATCATACCACATCTTCTCATTATAACAAGATGACCGGCCTGTTGTAAGCCAAATTTCATGTCTTTCATCAGAGTCCACCCAGTTCACAGAACTTCGTATAAGGTTAATTGAAAATGTTATCTGGTCTTGAATATGCCTGCCATATGTGTAATTAGGCGTTAAAACAATCAATCAGTGAATCCCATTAAATTCACGGCAAAAACCAGGAACAAGCATGCAATCTTGTATAATGTAAGATAAAGTGCGCATGTCATTTATTTTCCTACTTGACAAAGGTTATCTCTTAACCATATTGTATATCAGATGCAGCTTCATAAACACATATACAGGAATTTTTAGGTCTACCAAGTATTTTGCGACACCCAATTCTTGGTATACTTCTATAGCTTCATAGTTGCACGAGTGAACCTGCACATAGGACTTCACATATGCAGTTTTGCATGTGAATAATCAGTTATTATGAATAAAAAGATATATCGGGGTATTATACTTTGACGAGACATCAACCAAACGAATCGACAAATAACCAATGTTTGCTTTTTCTAATTATTGAAAATGTAAACTGAAAGTGTCTTTTACTATTTTGATAACGGACGAAAATACTTTGCAGTTTGAATTTAAATCAAATTCTGTAGTTTGCAAAAGGCGCTGCATAGTTGTGCTATTATACCATGCACTATAGGATAGGTACATGTAAGAGGTAAACGTGTTTGACCCCGCCATATTCTAACATGTCTGTACAAGGAACACGATTACAATCTTTATAAAAGAAACAAAGTTTGTTTCCGTGTTCATTAGCAGACGTGATCGCGTTGTCCTTTGTTGAACTCATTCTGGTTTAAGGTGGAGTTAACATTCATAAAATTTAGCCATAGTGTTGTATGTACTTTGAATTGCGATTTTTTTTATTGACGACTTGGTTCATATTTTAAACTTTCAAATAATAAAATGTTCATTAATCAAAGAAATAAATTTCATCAGAAATTTTAATGAAGTTTAATTAGGTCAAAATAGTTACGCCTGTTGTGTCATTCAATAATCAAGAAATTGCATGTCGATGTACTGCACCAACTGTTTACTTCAATGAAATATTTAAAGCTGATAAAACACAATAGAATGTCATAAATTTATTTGTACCTCTAAATTGCAAAGCTAAGCAACTTTCATTAAGTTGTCTTAAAATATATCAAACAATTAACTATTGCTGGATTAAAAAAAAATAATGAAGACGATGAAATCGAATTAGAAAATGTTCAACAAAGATTTGAGGGATAATTATTAGAGAATTGTGTATTAATCATTATTGCAATTTTCCAAAGCTGCCATTCGCATTTATCCTAAATTATATTAATTAGTAAATATAATTGTCTTTAATTTATCTTGAATTGACGAAGATTGATTAAAACATCTCTAGTCAGGAGATTGATTATGCTGATTGTAGTCCTTTTATGACATGTTGGGCTATACTTTCTGTCCTTTTTTGCGAATATTTTGGCCTTGATCATCACTGAAGAGACATTTATAGTCGAAATGCGCATCTGGTGCAGAACAATTTGTACCGTTAATGTCAATGAGTCATGCAAAGTCCATTCGAGGGATGCTGAAATTACAAGTAGTTTTCTCTCTTTTCAAACCAAGTCAAAATTACAGATAAGCTGAAAATTCGGTGTGCTCGATTGTGATGTATAGATAAATAAACGGACAAATATATCACTAAAGAGCGATAGCCGAAGATTGATAGCAAGCGGTTATATGACAAAGTTATTTGTTTTATAGTAATTAAGATTATAGCACAATGTTGAATGTTGTACCCCAATTTTTGACATTTTTACCTATTATGTCTGTTTGCTTTGCTCACACATTGTTGTCAATATAACGGAATTATATGCGACTGCCATGCGGGTCGGAGGTTTAGCTTGCGATGGGACCGGGTTTACTCCCCCGTTTTCTACGTGGGGAGATGCCTGTGCCGGGTCGGGGGTATGACGGTTGTTTTCTGTTCGTTTGATATGTTTGGTATTTTGATTTTGCCATGTGGTAAAGGACTTTCCGTGGTGAATTTTCATTGGAGTTCGGTACTTTTGTTATTTTTACTTTTGTTTTATAAGGATGACAATTAAAATGGCCAAAATAAGTATAGAAAGAGAAAATTTTTAATAAATATATTTCAAAGCTTTGTAGAAATACGTTTGATTTATAATAGATGTAATCTCTTGCATACTTGAGAACAATTTTAGTCAATTTATAAACTCTCAGATTAAAAGCAAAATTCTAAGATGCGAGATTTTTTTTTAACTATGTATATTTATACTGAAACACTAACCAGGTCAACAA